CAGAATAAAGACAACCACTCCTCACCTCGAAGGTTTTTCAGCTCAGAAGAATGCTGAGGTATCGCATGGGTACAGAACTCAAAAGCTTTGTCAATTGCATAAAGATCAATATTGACCCGCATTTCTTTGCTGGACTCTAATCCTGCAAAAGATGTTTTTCTTAAATTAACAAAAAACAAAAAAAAAACAAAAAAACAAAAAAAAAAGTCTGATGGGTAATACGAAAGACTGGAACATAAATAGCCAGTCAAATTGGTAAATATTAGGCCATTTATCTCTTTATCCAAAACCAAAATTAAACCAATATTCTATTTTCTGATTTAAAAAAATAACCAAAGTTCAGACAAGTCCAAATTAAAAAAATAATATTATATTTTTTCCATATAGAAGAGGTCTCAAACAAAAGTAATTTAACTGCTTTAACAAATGCGCCCTCGTTATTTATTCTGCCCAATGTTGAAAAGATCTTAATATTTGGTGAGGAGCATATTAGGCTCTGCTTAAAAAATTTGGAAATTCTCTTATACTTCAGAAATTCTCTATTTTATCTTCCAAACGCTACTATGGATTGGAGAAAAAAAAAACTCTCTTTATTTTGCCCAGTTCTTTCTTCACTTATAATGTCAAACAAACAAGATGCACATCTCTCTTTACATTACTCATTCTGCCCAATAACCAAGGCTTTGATGGCCTCATGGGAATGTGCCCATGGTTTTGAAGTTAATCTCCTCTTCAGGAATTTTTTCAGTAAAGAGAACCCCATATCAAAGCTCCACCATAGATTTGTGCAAGTTGAGGGTTTGGGATGCCAAAATACACGGCTAGGGTTTGTGAATAATGCATTGGATCTAGGCACAGTGAGCTCACATGCCAATCCAAGCTAGACAAGAAGGACTTGCTCACTTAATTGATCATGAACGAATTAATTAATTTTGTATTATCTCTCTTCATAATGGGTACGATGGCAAGTGCCTTCGCCCAGAGCGGTAGTCCGGGTTGAGACTTGGGAGCAGCCTCTCCATAAATGGGGGTAAGGTTAGCGACATTCACCTCTCCCAGACCCTGCGTAAAGCGGGAGCCTGGGTACGCCTTTTTTTATCTCTCTTCATAACTGGATTTCACTATATTTTTTTTTTTTTTCAGAAACTAAAGCATATAAAAAGTAGTTTATATTATTTCCTAACATCAAGCATGGCAACAGAAAAATTTAGTGCATGATAATTTCTATTGCTAAGAATACTAAAAACTAATGTTTTCATTTCTATTGCTTAAGGATACTAAAAAATTAATGTTTTCCTCTAGTAGTCATTTTATGAAATTTTTTGCATTTCATTTCAGTAAAATACAAAACAAGCCTGATACATGTAAAGTTTTTTCCTTCGCTGTGAGTATGCCATACCTATAGCACGTGAGTCTTTCTTCTCAAGAGGACCAAGGGGTTTAAGCTTAGAGTAACCAGAAAAATAGAATAAAACTAATCAAGTCATATGAATATGACCTAAACCCTAACCTATCATAGTAGCAATATATTTTATCCATACCTGGTACTTCTTTTGCATTTCTCTAACAGAAACTGAATTCAGTCATTGTCCAGCTGAGAGTGTTAAATAGGCGATTGAAAAAGCTGAGAAACAATTCTTGATCGTTGATACATGTTTCACTAACAATCTCTTTACGGATTAAAAGGCGAAAGAAGAATCAGAAGTTATTCGGTTGTAATACATTATACGACAAAAATCCTAAAACAATAATCAAGGATCATTCACCTGGAAGACAACGGATGAAGACGACGATTCTCCCTGCTTTGAAGAACCAAAGCCAGATCCCTTGCACAAACGCAGAAGAATGTTTGTCACTGGAATCCAGGATCTATTATCAAATGCTGACAGCAATGCCTTAGGCATTCTCTGGGTGGCTGCTTCATTACTCTCGAAGACAGACAGATATTCTTTGTACTGTACCAAGACTGAGATTGATTGGAGAAGCAGATCCCTAAGATCCGCACTTGATATCCGAGGATCGTTGAAGTGTGTGACCACAAAGTGACCTGGGAACAAGACACTCAAAAATCTAGAAGGAAAAAAAAAAAAAAAAAAAAAAAAAAAAAACTCATAATCTTCATCAAGTCCTGCCAGGCCATGTTTTTTGCCTGTCAATATTATTCAGGATCCAACTTTCAGAGGATCTACTATGTGTTAAGATAAAAGAATTATGAATAGCAAGACATGCGTTTACAAATTATATGAACCAAAACAATAATACGGAACATTAAATAAGACAAATTCATATAGTTTTCCTTCATGGGCATGCTTTAAATATAGAACTTCAAAAGATAGATAATATTCACCAGGTAAATCAAAATATAAATTACCTCGATGCTCAATTATCACATCTAAAACTAAATAATTTATCGTTTTCAAATCCATCAGGCCTATAGTTTGTATTTTTATTATGTAAATGTCTTGTCAAATTATACACAGCAGAGCATAAAATAGAAAGTTGGAAAAAACAAGACTAAAAGAATAAACGTACAAATGAAGCAAGGCCTTGCTTGATAAATATTGATGAAGGTACAAATGGAGGATCACTTTTGCGCAACACAATGAAAGCAATCGACCTGCAAGGGAATAGAAGAGTAATGAACAATTCCAAATACAGGGCTTCAGAAGAACTGGCTCAAGAGGTCATTGCAATTAGAGGCTAGATCCAGTATTTCCCGAAACATTAACGAGCAGATGAACTTTTTCTATCTTTTTTACATTTGTCACATATCAAAAGTCAGAGGTTGAAATATTTGTAGAAAATTAAAAACTTTCCATCTCAGAATTTTCCCAAGCAGTTGTATAGCATCCTAATGTAATTCCAGAACTACTCTTAAGGGTGAGCACATACTGCATCCAGAGGCGGATTTACTAAGGGACCAGGGTGGTCTCGGGACCACCCAGAAGCTCGGATAAATGGCTGTGAGAACCTCCTAGGACCACCCAAGTCTGGGCAGTGGTAGAGAAGAGCAGCAGCCATAGCTGCTGCGCTGTGCAAAACTGAAGGAGGAAGAAGAAAGGGTTTTTTTTTTTTAATGACTTGACCAAAACGCGTCGTTTTGAGCCAAGTCATTAAAAAAAATTTAAAACCAACGTGAGAGCCTTCACGTGATAGCACTCACCATCTTTTATTAAAAAGTCAAACAATTTGAAATTTAATAAAAGCCCATGGCTTTTCATTAGTTTGCTTCCAATCAAATTCAACTTTATCAAATATAATATACCTAATTGCCTGCCGCTCCTATTCCTCACACCACCCAAGCTAGCGAAGGCCATCAACAACAATTTCAGAATTTCTGTAAGTTTTCTAGTTTAGTGTTAGTTCATCCATATTTATTGTTAACTTGTTAGGATTTTTAGTTTTAGTTTTTTATTTTATTTTTTAAAGAACATTAATTAAAAACAAAAGGCTGAACAGTGAATACATATATGTAAGGGTCTTTGATAATGGTTTTTGGTAAGGGTTTTTTGATAAAAAGCCAAAGCAATCACACACTAACAGGTTTTAAACTAAGTTCAGCCTTATTCATTGTTAATTTCTTAGGATTTTTTCATATCTATTTTAGTGTTAGTTCATACATATTTATTGTTCATTTGTTAGGATTTTCTAATATTACTTGAATTGTGTTACAATGTTTTTTTTTTTTTGTCGAAGATTATGTTACAGTGTCAGTTCATACATATTTTTTTGTTGAAGTTGTAGTTTGCCATTTATTTTTCAATGTTATTTTCGTTTTTTTTTTTCTGGAACTTTTATATTAGGACCACCCTATGTTAAAATCCTGGATCCGCCACTGACTGCATCTACCTGATATCCATCGAGAATTTCAATAACATGCAAATATCGCCATCAAAGAAACATTGAATGAAAAAAATTAGAAAACAAATTAAAAAAAAATGGATTATCCTTTCAACATGCAATAAAACAAGTGTAAACACCAAAGTCTGCAAAAACAAGGGAAAGCACAAATATTCTCCTATTAGGAAGGAAAAAGACAAGCATTCGTACTCAAAAGCAAGATCATAAAAGTTTATGACAATGACTCATTGCATATCAAACATTGTTAGATTTAATATAAAAAGAGTTAACTTACAAGAGCTTCCAGATAATATTCAGGGATATAAAGGAACAGCAGATCGACTTTGGTAAGAACCAAAAGCAACTGGACAGTCCACATGCATGTTGCATACATTCCTCTTTGCTTCCATCGAGAAAATAGAGAAATACGGTACCTGCAAGGCATGAAAGAGTGACGAAAGGAAAAACAGATGTATGTAAATGTGTATAAATAACTAAAATATGTACAATCTTTTCAGGTACATACTAAAGTATGTAAAATTAAATGACCTGCTAAGCTGTTCTTTTATCAGAGATCATTCTCAACACTCCACTAAGCAGTACAACTAAGACTAAGGTTAAACTTAACTAACAAATCATGCAGTGTAT